ATGAACAAATCATTGTCCAGTTTTGCGATGTTAAAACCCAGATTAAATTGACCCAGGGGGGAAGCGTAAGTTTCAATAGCCTAGCGCGCAAATGGCGTCAGAGTGACTGATATTTTTGTTTGAGTTTTGCCATTTTTTTTCATTTTAATGACAAAAGAAAGACAATCATGAAATTTTGATGACAAAAGTCAGACAAAAGTGAGGAATTCGCTAAATATTAATTTCAGTTTGTTTGTCTGAGTTTCTGGTCTATAAATAGTAACTGCACGCAGCGCTATTGACTGATGCATAAGAGCTAGTGAAAAAGCGGTTTGAGAACGTATGATCTGCTTTGATAATCTGTGAGGGTAAAAGGCGGAATGAGTTTGGGGAATGGCGTGTGGCATGGCTTGCGGAATGTCATAATTATGCGGAATTTAATATACGCAGCTGAATGATCCAAAGAAATAAATTAAACTGAAAAGAGCGCCCTTTTTTGGCGCCATTACTTTAATTTTTTCTGCAAAAGATGTTTGTATGATTAACGTAACAGTTTCTTGTTACCTATATTTGACATATTTTTATTCGAAACCGTGTGAGAAGTGTTTCTTTATGAGACTGTGGGTTACGTGATTGTGCCATAATTGATAATATTCAGAGATGAATCGAATCTTGGGTATTCAGTTTGGGTGAGTGCAGGCCCGTAACCAGGGGGGTGCACGCCCCCCCCCCTACAGGCCCAAAAGGTCCGCATTTTGATACTCAATATCCAAGTTAAGGAGTGCAGTCGGTTAAACTGAAGTCTCAAACTTAACAGTGATATTTAAAAAAAATCAAAGAATGGAAAAAGCAGTAGTATATTCACTGGGAAAATAAAATCAGCTGTACTCTAGTAGCCCGAGCCATTCAGAACATTTCAATGAGCGCACAGATGTCCGAGCTTATCTAAATGAATAATGAAATTAACGTGGGCACGCTTTGCACGGGAGTTTACGACGAGCGAGGGACCGATCTCACGATTTTTGTCAGGCACGTACGCTAACGCCTCGGGTAGTATTCTCTATTTGTACGAGCGCATGGACGCCCGAAGATGCAAAATTAGTTTTTTTATGTAATACGTTCCCGGGGGAGGGACTCCGCATATGAAAGTGGTGGGGATGCTCGTCGTCTCGCTTAGGGGTGTAAATTTCGGATTTTGGTCTCACTTAGGGTGTTCTGGGCAAAACGCTATCATATTTAGCCGTGAAGGTCTCGTTTAGGGCTGCACGCGAAAAAATATAAAAATATAACCTATAACGTGGTGTCTTTTAGGGGACAAAAAAAGCTTGGGCCACACCCAGATAGGTCTCCTTCAGGGGTTTAATTCAAAATTCCTGACGAGCATCCCCACCCCTTTCATATGCGGAGTCCCTCCCCCTGGGAATACGTTATGGGTAGGAGAGAACAGGAAAATAGAAAGAGGAAGGCTGTAGCTAAATCTTGCCAGTCTCTCGATACATGGGTCAGTAAAGTACCCCGTCAAGAGCCATCAGACGCTGACAATGACAGTGCAGTCTGCGATGACAGCCCAGCTGAAACCACGACTTCAGATCTATCTCAGTTAACTACAGTAATCATACTTATTTTTGCAATGTCCACCAGTCTTGATCCCATTATTATGCTCTGAGATTTAGACGCTATTCCTCGATATGAAACAAACGCCAGTGAGGGAACACAGAGTAACAACTCGGAGAGGGACTGGGAGGGTTAATCTAAAGCAGCAATCCACAGGTATCCCAAACCATAGAAGTTTTCGAGACACAAAGAGGGGAAATACATTTTATGTTTCTCTTCGTCTCTTACCGTCATCTCCTGATGTCATGACAATATTTTATGAAAAGCCGATGTGTACTTTCTTAACAATTCCGCATTGTTTATAAACGGATCGACAATAAAAAATACATTTCAGTAGTTTGGTCCACTTTGGCCACGTTAGCACCCCCCACATAAAATTCTGGTTACGGGCCTGGAGTGAGTGCCGCCCGGGACTTCAAATTGGCACCCCGTTCTAGAAAAAATTTCCCCTAAAATTGATACCCCATTCTAGAAATGGGCCAATTTTTTATACCCCGTTCTAGGATTCGCCCTAAAACTGATACCCCGTTCTAGAAATGGGCCAATTTTTCATACTCCGTTCTAGGGTGCAACAAGAGTGCAACGGTTTGCTTGTTAACGCATTGAACCGTATTTTTAAAAGTAATCTGTCCTTGAATACTTTCAAATGGCTGCTTACAAAAGTTGAGCTTTCGTGCGTTCGAAATATTATACCCCGTTCTACAAAACGCCTCTGAAATGGATACCCGTTCTAAATCAGGAGTTTCAAAATCACGACCCCTTTGGGCGGCACATACCCGTATAGGTAATGTATGGGAGTACCCCCCGGGAAATTCGCTAACATCAACTTTCCCCGCGTTCGCAAACGAAGCTGGATGGAGAAATTTGGACACTTTCCACGAACAGAAAAATTCTTTTCCTTCTACTAGAAGATACTTTCTGGACAATAGGGAAGCTGGTCGTTAGGTTATCGCATTCCCCCGCAAATGGGGCACTGAAATAATTTTAAAAATGAGGGATAGGTTTACAGCAAAAATTTAAGTTCGTTACTCATTTTCGACGGCAATATTTAACATGTGGTATAACTCCAAATTCTCTTCTTGCTATTTAAATCACACATTTAGACATTCATTTAAAACATACCTGGGAATTGGCTTGGGTAACTGAAGGAAATCTCCTGTAAGACACCATCGAAGTTCAGGAATTTTCATGGTAGGCTGGTGGTAATAAATTGTCTGTATTGTGTAAACACATCCAATTTCGAAACGCACATTAATAGATATTTACAGCCGAAAGGCTCGTTTTTCGTACGTCTTGTAGGTTTTCCCTTTGCAAAATTGCCTTTTTCAATCAAAGAATGCCGGTCAAAAGGTGAAACTGGGTCAATTTTAGCCATTTTGAAACACTAAACTTTACCTGCCGGCGACTCTGCGTGACAGTCTGTTCCGTGACTGCACGTGGCACAACGTACGTTTGAAGAGACGGAGCTGTCAAAATCACGAAATCAAGGTAGTAACGCAACGTAATTCTTGATCGAAGGAGTAACATTTTCGGTGCCGACAGTAGTTTGAAGAAGCAAAAAATCAAACGCACAAGTATTTATTTTCGTCACGCCTCACAATATTTACCGGACTTCAATGTTTTCGTTTGGAGGCTGCCTTCAGGAACCCTAGCCAATTCTCAGGTATGTTTTTATAGATAAATGTCTAAAATAATACGTGAACCAGTAAAACAGTTGCTCACTCAAATTGGCGCCAAAAAAGGCGCGGCAATGACTCTCGCTTGACTCTCGCGTGCCTTTCAGTTTAATTTATTTCTTTGCTCCAATTTCCATATTTTACATTCCGCATAATTATGTCATTCCGCAAGCCATGCCACAAGCCATTCCGCAAACTCATTCCTTCTTTTACCCTCACCGTTCGATAATGTGTAATTGTGCTTATGATAGGCAGTATAAACTGAGTCGGTTGTAAAGTAGCCTGTAGCATGTTCAGTTTATGGGACTATAGGAGTACAAGTGGTAAAAATTTATCTCTTTGTTTGCTGCACCGTATAATTTAATTATGTCGTTTAATATTATTTCATTTTCAAATGAGCTTTCGGATGTGACGTTAATCAGTCAATTTCCTTTCATAGAGAGGGAGATAGGGTTCAACGAACCTGTCGATCCGAATCGATCCGTACGTGCTAATGAGTAGATAAAAAAAATTAATAATTCCTCATGTTGTTTTATTTTCCTACACGTCTAGTTTAAGATACCTTTAAAAACGTTCACAAGATTATATCAATGGGTCGCACTTGGCAAATTTCTGGAAGAATTTGTTTACCTTGCGGTAAAAATCTGTCATCGGGACACATTGCCAAGTGCGACCCCACGTTTTCAAGTTGGAAAAAAACTTTGAAAATCACAAAAAACATCAAAGACGCCGTATTGCTTAGGTGGGGCAGGCAGATTTTGGAAAACTCGAGCTAAACAATAGGAATCACGGCGGTAAGTGTTAGCACTTGTCAGCGAAACGTGACCAATTTGAAACACGATCAATTTGAATCAATCGTTGAAATTTTCTGACCTTCGCGTTTTCGTTGTGGACGGACAAGGCTACCGCTACTTTTCGCCACTTTAACGTTTTTACGAAAACTTTCTTCGGGCGAGCAATTCATAAGCTTGTAATCCTTCGCTATTTCAACGTTTTTACGGGAACTCTCTACAGGCGAGCCAATTACAGTCTACCCAGGCAAGTACCGTCACAGGTTTGTTATTCTCCGAGCTAAATGCAGTCTTTGCAGACAAGCACTTTATTTTCTTTATTTCTCCCATCCTCCTGAAACTGGGAAAGGAGGAAAACGATCCTACGCCAAATGATCGGACTACGAAGAGATAATGTTCTCTGGTATCTGGCCTAAAAACTCCCACTAGTAAATACTAGTGCGACCCTCCTCATTGACTAAAAGTTTTCTTTTCCGGTTGCGGTTTCGAATTTTCGTGGTTTTTTAGCCGGCAAAGATGAAAACGTTTCCCAAGTGCGACCTAAGCGGAGCTCCAACGGAAGTACTGGCTCTGAATGTTTATTTTAACTTAAAGATTCTAATCGGTAGTTCTAGAACGGACTCTTGATTTGGTGATCAAAAACAAAACTTTCTCCCGCAATGCTAGCCTGCGAACCGCAGACGCATTTCCGGTCGTCGCTTCTCTCCCTCTATTTTTCGGAGGGAGAGAAGCGACGACCGGAAATGCGTCTGCGGTTCGCAGGCTACCGCAATGCATGAAACTAATCATTTGCATTTACGTCATACATCACTGACATCACGCCACCAATCAGTTGTGCATTAAACAAAATATAAATCTTGAGTTATCTCGCTTTTCTATCAGATCAGTCTTTGTTGGGAAATTATCTGACGGAATCTGGCTAAAGAAATTTCTTGACAACATGTCACAGGACGCTAAAGATGTTGTACCAGGTGGACTGAGTCCGCTGAAACCGGCCGATGCAGAAGTGCAAAAGATTTGCGATCAGGTATCAGTTTATTAAAGCTAGCATATGAGGCAACTCCCTCATGAAATCTTATTTCTTTCTCCGCTTAACTTTGAAATGCCGTGTTTGGCGATAGCGGACAACCCGAGTAACCCAAGCTGGAAAGCATGCGTAACTATTATCGTGACCTTCGAAAGTAGAAGGACTGATTTTGCATGCGATAAGAAGAAACAGTAAATTATTTAACCTAGAAATATCCGTTATATATGTTTCCGTGTTTCTTCATGTCGTCAGTTGGTTTGAGCGAAATGAGAGCGGCGAGAAAGGTGACACTCGGGGGTTAAGACAGAAACATTATATTTCCAGCTTGGGCTGACTGTGGGTAGTATTAATTTATGTTAATACATGTAATTAATGGCGAGCAGTCATTGGCCAGAATTGATCATGTGACCTCTACATGTGCTTTAGTTGTCGGACAATCTCCTAGCGTTAGGCCGTGACAAAAGTCGCTCCGTGATCTCTGTCTTCCGCCAGATCACTCTCCGTCCAAAATCGATCCAGGAGCCTCTTCCTTACTCCAGGCAACTCTGTTTATCCTCAGTCGTCTTAAAGAAAACAAACTTCCTTCATTCAGCCACCGGCTTTTATTGAAAGAACTCCAGCTCATTTGTGGTGACTCTTGGTGTGTCATCTCTCCACGCTTCCTCAATTGAGTATCCTCAACCATGGCAGCTTCCAAGCCTAAAAGATCAGTCAAACAACCACTCAATCCAGATTTTGTGTATGACTTTCCTGCTATGGTTTTTCCTACTGATTTTGATCCAAATGCGACTCCCTCGGCGGCCGCTCAGTCGGCTGCACAGGTTCCAGCGACAACGCCAGCTGTGACGGGCGCTGTGGCAAAGAAGAAATCTACAAAATCCGCCAACATTCAAGACCAATTGGAGCTGGAGCGGTTAAAACAGCAAAACCTTCAACTGGAATTAATGCTTCTTTCACAGAAAGAAAAACTCGGCGCAGAAGCACTCCAAACAACACAAGACAAAATGTCAGCTGATGCACGTGGTCAACTTATGCACGACCAGTCGCAAGAAAAAATCCTTGCGTCGCTCATGAATGAACTGACCCCACCGTTGCGAGAGGAGCAGAATCAGCTAGCAAATCCCACCTTTCCGGTTATGCAGCAGCTCAAAGCAAGTGCTAAAGGGCACACTGTTTTCTCCTCAAAAGGTACGTTGGATTATGATAAAATTGACATTTCAGAATTTGTGTTTGCCTTTCTTGAGTCTGTTCAACAACAGCAGCAATCACAACACCAACATCTGCTTCAGTTTCTCCAGTTGCTTATGGAAAAAGCTATGAACTACTCCTGGCCGAGTGTTCGAAATTTTAATTTGTCTATTAACCAAGCGTTGGCACAAGGTAGGCTTACCTGGGGTCAAATGGATGTCATTCAAGCTCCATCGAATACTTTCTTTAGTCATGCTGATCTTCGTTCCAGTCAGAATACAGGCTCCAAGTTTTCAGGTCCACGCCAGCAACGCGACCCCCCTCGGAGAGAGCAGAAAGATATGTATTGTACTGACTGGAATTATACCGCCAAATGCTCTTGTAACATCACTGACCCGGAGAACAAGAACACGCATCACTGCAGAGTATGTGATTCTGATCAGCATCCCATGCTCCATTGTGCTAAACGGAGATATCCTATTCCAACTAACAAATCTGCTCAGCAAAGGCCACAATGAATAGCTGAAAACATTGACATTATCGACACAGTCTTGCGTTCAGGCGACTACAATTTTGCTCTTGCACAAGTGCCCATTAAAACCTCGTTCAATATTGACAACTGGATCACATACCTGCATGATTATGATGATTTTATTATAGTCCAATACTTGCGTTATGGTTGGCCAATTAATTATCAGTCAAATGTGTTGCCACAGTCTACTTTGATTAACCACTCCTCTGCCATCAAAAACAATTTGTGTCTGATGGATTATCTCGTTGAGGAACTTGCTCATGGAGCAATTATTGGTCCATTTTCGTGTAATCCATTTTCCTGTCCATGTGTTTTGTCGCCGTTACAAACAGTGCCAAAACGGGACAGTTCAAAGTTACGGGTGGTTCATGACTTAAGCTTCCCTGAGAGTACATCAGTTAATTCCGGAATACCAAAGGATAGTTATTTAAATCATGAATACAAGTGAACACTTCCAGGTGTTGATAGACTTACTCATTTCATTCGATTACGTGGACGTCATTGTCATATCTACAAGAAAGACCTTGCCTGGGCCTTCCTACAAATGCCCCTGGATCCCAAGGATGTTCCTTTTGCTTGGTTTTGTTGTGAACAATCAACTATATTTTCACACACGCTTTCCTTTTGGACTTCGCTCGGCCACTATGGTATGCCAGCGAGTAACCAAAGCAGTGATTCATATATTAACTACAGAGGGTTATCTTGCTGATGTCTACATTGATGACTTTTATGGCGGAGTTAGCAGAGTTAGCAGGTGTAGCATTCCAAAGGATGACTGAATTGTTTGATGAACTGGGCTTGGAAGCCTCCCCCGCCAAAGATCAATTGCCGAACACACAAATGCTTGTGCTTGGAATTTGGTTCAATACGGATGACATGACTGTATCGGTTCCTGAGTTTCGATTATTGGAATTGCGAGCTGAACTTTCTCATTGGCTTGAACTGGAGCAAGCCACTAAACATCAATTGCAAGTCCTCATTGGTAAATTAAGTTACGTGTGCAGTTGCGTGCGCCCTGGGCGGGCTTTTATGTCGCGTTTGTTGAATGAACTGCGCAGTTGTGATTCGCGTAGAAGAACTATTCCTGTGTCATATGAGCTCAAACTGGACTTACAGTGGTGGCTACATTTTCTAGACAAATACAGTGGTGTCTCAGTGATAGGTACAGAGTTTCTAGAATCCAGCGAACAGTTATTTTCCACCGATGCTAGCCTGACAGGATGTGGAGCCATCCGTGAAGGAGAATATTTCCATGAACTCTTCCCGCCAATTATTACTCAGCAGCAGTTATCCATTACGCAGTTGGAACTCCTCACAGTGGTTGTGGCAGTCAAGCTATGGCAATTAAAGTTAAAAGGCAGATGCATAATGATTCACTGTGACAACCAGGCATGCGTTGACATGATAAACTCTATGCGTAGCAGGCACGTTTTCTTACAAGTTTGTTTACGGGAATTATGGCTGACATTAGCAGTTAACAACATCCTGCTCAAGGCTGTGCACATTCCTGGAAATGAAAACACATTAGCAGATTGCCTTAGTAGGTGGCACACAGATGCCATCTACCAATCACGATTCCATGCCTTAACAGTTTCCCTTGAGTTGCAGCCAGTTACAGTTAACCCTTCTGCTGTTTTCCTTTACCTGCACTTAACCTGCTGGCGTTTAATATTGTTCCGAAATTTGAGAAATTGCAGTCTTCCTTTACAACTGACTTGCATCACCATGAGAGTTGCCTGATAAAACTGGCACTTGAAAAGTTGAACAGAAGACAACAGTTGCTCGACCGTGAAGCTAACTCAAAAGTAATTTGCTAAAGGAGGAATTTGTGACATCGCGCTCCAGTCCAAAGACCCACTAATCTCAAGAAAAACAAAATGGATTGTATCTGCGCCAAAAGAATTATGACTGCCTAACAGAACAATTTTCAGCACTTAATGTAGAAGTTTAGGCTCAATTCCTTCCTTCGACTTCGCATCTGTAGATCACTTTTTTGCGAGAAAACAATGTCTGGGCCCGGCGTTACAAAACATAGCAGGGAATCATCACACTAGCTGACGGACAAAACAACCACAAGGACCACAAGTATTTATTCAGATAAACACATTTCGGAAAAAAAAAACTTGAGAAACTAGAAATTTGATTAACATTGAGTCATTTGGCCGAAATAAGAACCTTAACGCTCAAAAAAATTGGCTAAAGAAAACGAATCCTGTCAGAACTACAGACTGCAGGTAGTAGTTAATCAGTATGCATGTAACAGACCAGCTTCATGGCCTCTTAATGTGAGACAAGCAACCAAAATTAAGTTTACATAGTTAGAGTTTAAAACTCTCCACAGTATAATCTACCCGCTAGAAAGAAAAATAAAAGAAAATCTCTGGGGGATGAAAATGCTAAAGTCACGTTTCACTAGCTTATGATTGTGTCTGGCCTGTCAACACCGAATTTCTTGCTGTTTGATGATGAAGTACAATAGCTGTGTCATTTCGTCGTTGTGATTGGCTCTTCCCACCGTCGGCGCGCGAAGTCCCCCTGGGAACCGTTCTAATTATAAATCTACTCGGGAAAGGGTTGACCCCAAGGGCTTGTATGGGAGATGGAGGCTCCGTCTGATGGGCTCCTGGTTCTCAACACCACTCAAAAACTCAATGTTGCTAAAACCTTAGCTCAGCACATCCCTACAACTCATGATTAGGTCACTACCACTTAGCTTTCACTACTTCCTCATTACTTCACACCTGGGGTTTTGGGGTCTGTCTTTTGTCAGATTTCATGTTTGTCATTTTGCCAATAAACTTGTTGAACCCATCTTGGTGTGACAGTAATTGGGTAGTATTAATTTATGTTAATACATGTAATTAATGGCGAACAGTCATTGGCCAGAATTAATCATGTGACCTCTACATGTGCTTTAGTTGTTGGACAATCTCCTAGCGTTAGGCCTTGACAACCCACCCTTCCCACCCTTAAGGTCTGTCTTTTGTCAGATTTCTTGTTTGTCATTTTGCCAATAAACTTGTTGAGCCCATCTTGGTGTGACAGTAATTACTGAGAACCTTTCCGAAGCTTTGTAAACAAACGATGAACAGTTAAATTATTTCCAGTATATTTGATGCGATGGAAGTACATTCTGTACAATTGCTTGTAACCATGATAACAACTATTGTTCCAAACCCTACTCGCATGACGTTTGTGATTTAAAATAAAGAAAACAAGGGGGAAATGAGTGGAACGCTTCTAGCCGGAATATTATTGTTCACTGTACTGTATTGTTGCATAGTAGAACTTCGATATAACGAAGAGCCAAAGGATAGGCAAAATATGTTCGTTTGGACGAGGTTTCGTTATATCGAAGTTCTCTTAATTCATATATTTTACTATTACTGGGGTAAGAACAACCGTCCGTTATACTGAGGACTTCGTTGCATCGAGATTCGTTATATCGAGCCCGGCGGGGGAGGGGACTCCGCATATGAAAGGGGTGGAGATGCTCGTCGGAAATTTTGAATTAAACCCCTAAAGGAGACCGATCTGGGAGTGACCCAAGCTTTTTTTGACCCCTAAAAGAGACCATGTTAAGACGAAGACAAAATATCTATTTTTATATTTTTTCACGTGCAACCCTAAACGAGACCTACACGGCTAAATATGATGGCGTTTTGCCCAGAACACCCTAAGTGAGACCAAAATCCGAAATTTACACCCCTAAGCGAGACGACGAGCATCCCCACCCCTTTCATATGCGGAGTCTCTCCCCCGGGATATCGAGGTACCACTTTAAATAGGTAGATGGTACCATCACAGCAGAGGTGGGCGAGGTATAGTCAGGGCGTCGTAGAACTGGGGTTTTACGGTATGTATTTCACACCTCTTTGCTAACAAGGTAAAAAATATCCTCAACTTGTCTCCCCAACAGGTGAAACCCCAAGCAGAGAAAATGTCAGGGCAAGAATTTCCTGAATTTAAAGCCATTTCATGTAAAACTCAAGTTGTAGCTGGAATAAATTACTTCATTAAGGTTAGTCAAAAACGTTTCACAGCTATATACCCCTTCCCTAAGCCAACATTAACACTTACTTCTCACTTAGCACAAAATATTGGCTTAGGGGATGGGTAGGTGGACAGTTTCCCAGAAACGAATAATAATCCCAACGCACGTCGGATCTGCAGTCAGTCCCACATTGTACTTATTATGACATCCACGAAGGAGTGGGAAGTGGGGGTAGGGGAAATGGCAAGCATTGTGTTTAATTACATAATGATTCCTGTTAGTGTAGGTAATAGCATGATTTGAAGTGTATTTCGATGATTGCCACGGTTGATATTTCGAAATTGTTATACGTAATTTCACGAGCCGTTAGGCGAGTGAAAATTGAGACAATTTTGAAATATCACGAGTGGTATTTATGCCAAATATCTCGTACAAATCAAATTACTATTTGTTTATATCACTACCAAGCAAAATGTCTGTAATTTTCGCATACAGGTATTTCAAATTATACTGAAATACTACTGCTCTAAGCCAATCAAACTACAGAAATTTCAAATGTATTAGTATAATAAAGTTAAGTCAAGCGTTGTCTGTTTCCATAATCACTAATATTCTCATAACACAGCATTCCAGTCAAACGCTCTGCCCGGCCGATGCGGTATTGCTTCCGTAATTTTTGAATAAAGAAAGATCGATAGTTTAAAAATTAATTTTTGTTAAGACATTGTCACAGCCCCACACTTCGCCTTCAACTCAACGCTTTCGGAAGTGAATAATGGATGCAGGGTCACTGTGAAAGATTTCACCTCATGTAAAAGAATCCGGATTGCGGAATCCGAGAGATTTTTGCTCGTGGAATCTGGAATACAGCTCAAGCAATCCAGAATCCGACTAACCATCGGAATCCGGAATCCAAGTTCCACTTGAAAATTCCGGATTCTAGTACCTGGAATCCGGAATCCACGGCGTGGAATCCAGAATCCAAGACTGTCTTGGATTCCCTTACATGGGGTGGAAGATTCTTCAGAGAAGGGTACAGCTTAGTTAAAGGGGCTCTGTCACTAAATTCAGCGAAAGATAAGGAACTCTCGCTGGTCTCGCACAGAAGGCCGTGCACAAGTGCTATTAAGCCACGCTTACATTCAATTTCCGTTTTTTTTTTTTCTGGAATAGGTGTATTATCCATCATCCTCGCTTTCATGCTCTTTTAGATAATTATCTATTAGAACGATTGCGTGTGATCACAAGCTCAACTAAAGGTTTTGATATCTTAAACAGAAACTCAAGAGTAATACTGGATCAAAATTCCAAATTCAATGAAAGGAAATAACATTAATTTTATTAGATCTTTTATTAGTGTCCCCTTGGTTTCGCTATCAAATTAATTTTTCCTCTTTCGACATTTCAACATTTTGAATGCTGAAAGATCATAATTGACTCACACATTACATACTGGATCTACAGTACAATCTCGATTTCTCGAACTCTAGGAGTTTCGAAACCCCGGATAATTCGAACTAAACCTAACCTTCTTTATCAGCCATGCCACACAGTGTAATTTTACCTCCGATTTTTCAAACCTCCCCAACATTCGAACCAATTTGATTTTCTCAATGTTTTCCGATAAATCGGGATCTCACTGTATACCTTACTCGAGGGTGGGTCCTTTAAACTGTTAAAATATTTTACCTACAGGTTCATGTTGGCGGTCCTTCCTACGTTCATTTGCGTGTTTTCCAGTCTCTGCCATGTGATGGATCAACTCTTACATTATCTGCTATAAAGACAGGAATGACCAAGGACGATCCCATCAACTATTTTCACTAGAGTCCACACAAGTTCTACATCAAGACAACATTCAACCTAGTACCTAGGGTCTTTTTACTCGCTAACTACGTCATGCTACGTCATTGATGACGCAGTTGACGAAAAATCTTGTTCCTAGGGTCCTTCTTTTTGTCTTCTGTGTACGACTCAAGAGTGGCGTAAATGACGAAAGAGAGATCCTGGGAACAAGGCTAGCTCACGAAAACGAGGTTGGACAAAAAATAACAGTGACTAGTGATGTAAGCATTTTTCAATAATGTTAAAGTAAAAAGTTAGAAACTATTTTTGGCTTTTGTTTGATCGTTTGCAAAGACTTCTTAGAGCTTAAATTAACTGACTGAAGGGATAGAAACACATTGTGCCTACTTGATGCATGGTTGTAAGTAAAGCTTTGCAATGCCTGGAAAATGTATCACGTTCAAGCCACGGGAAAATGTATCTTCACTATACATGCATACAGGATCGCCACGGTAAATATTTCGAGATTACATTCCACACATTTTGTCGAAATTACGATGCAAGCGTTTACTCAAAATGTCTCCTGACTGGGTTAAGTTTGATACACAACTGATCATATCTGTTCAGTTGCTAAAAACAAAAAGGAAAGACAGTAAAGTAGAAAAATTCTCTTGCGTTTTTAAGAAAAAAAAAATGAAACAATCAACGAAACGAGGTCTGGCAGGATACGAAACAACAACAACAACAAAAACAAATTTTATTGAAAATTGGAAAATAATTACATTATTTTCCCACCCGTAAATAGCTTATAAACTAATCGAGGCGGGGGGAGCTGAAGACATTAGAAAACAAGATTTATATATAGATGGACTAAATAACAGTGAAGACACTACTATACAGTAAATAGAATTTAAACTAACATAAAACAAGGCAAGTACATAACGATTGCTCAGGCATAATATGACACACGAAACAAGATAACAAAGCAAACAGAAAAAAGCGGAAGGAACACTTAAACATCAGAAATTTACGAAATGTTACGCGGAGCACTTCAACACACGGCCGTCCATCTTAACCACATCACGTGGTTAAAACGTTAAAACTTTAAAACGTTAAAACGTGGTGAAAACGTGGTTAAAACGTTAAAACGTGAAAACAATAATTTTCCAAGTTGACATGTATACTGTGTCAAGACCATGGGCAAAGCTTTTTAACTATATCAACATCAGGGACTTTTCTTACCACAAAAAGGGGCAACACTCACCAACTCTGGCAGTATGACTATTCCTTCTTAGTAAACTCGATGAAAGAGCAGTGCCAGTTAGCTTTTCGGCTTTAGAAATGTGCTTTTGGGGGACTGAACAAGAAGAATTAGCTATAATTCCTTTCTTTTACAGAAGTATGTTTACTATGTATACATTTTGCGACTTACACTCCCACAGCATGTTTGCTGTTCCGATTGCGGATCAGGATGAGTAGCTTTTCTTGCTGGGCAAGTAACGTCCTAATCCTACTTGCCCAACAGGCAAGGGGCCAGACACGTCATCTTGTAACCTAGATTATTAGGGAGCTTAAGCAACTACGACGACGACGACGCCGACGACAACTTCAAAAAACAATAGATTTAATGATCAAAACAACAGCTCTGCACGTGCATCACTCTTTTTAGTACATTTCTTTGACGTCCACTGCACGACTACGACGTGAAACCTCCTTGACGTTTTATGGAGGACGTGGACATACGACGACGAACTTTCCTTCCTCTTTTTTAACTTAAATAAAATCCTTAAGAACTGAATTCCGGGAAAAGTCGTCTGCATTTGACATATTGAGCAGGTTCAAATAAAGGCGATTAAGTTTGAAAGAACGCAGATTCGTTTTTTTAGCTACGTTTTCACTGCCGTCGTCGTCGTCGTTGCTTGAGGTCCCTATTAACAAGGCAAGCCATCAATATCTTCGGAAAACAGAATGCGAGAGCTGTTCAGTAAGGACATTGCGATCAACCTCAAAATCAAATCCGTTCTTTTGAAATATTTCCACGTTGTCCATAAGGATAGCTTCATTGGTTCATTGATAGCTTCATTGATAGCTTGTCCATAAGGATAGCTTCATTGGCAGTGGTTAGTTCAAGCTTCTGGGGAACAGTAAGACGTTGGGACTTAATTGTCGTGTTCCTCTGTTGATCCTGGTTAAATTTCTCATCTGAAGCATGCTGCTCGATTATGAACAAATCATTGTCCAGTTTTGCGATGATAAAACCCAGATTAAATTGACCCAAAACTTCCATACCCTTGAACATATCTTTACTAATATTTTTCGTTAGTTCTTTCTCAGCACTGGAATTGCTCTCTGGTGCTTTCTTCGCTCTAAACAAAAGAGCTTCTACTTCACCTGTTTTTTGTCTCGTTTGCCGGGTGCCGTAACAACGCTTTTAAGTTTATTCATACTGAAACTCACTGTTGTTTCCTTTCTGTTTCTAACGATCTCTGAGACCTGCGTTTTTTTTTTGGTGTTGCCAAGTTTAGGAAAAACCAGTATTGTTTTGCAAGATAAGTTACTTGAATTATCTTTAGCCTGGCCTAAAAGTGTTTGATTAGTTTTATCAAAACGCTCTGAATCTATTTCTTGCTGGACGTCTTTCTGAGAACTAAGTTCGTCATCATCAGATTCACTTACAGAAATGATATCGTCCTTAACTTCAACAACTTCAATGTCAGTTTTTTTTGCTAACAGTTCATTGCTATCACCAATATTTTCAGATCTTTGAGTCTTAGTAACAGCATAAACATGCCCACCATCTGTTTCCACAGACTCTTTGCTTTCCAGCCTAGACAACGAGTAGTTCCCCATTTTTTCTCATGGGGGACTACTCGTAGTCTATTTCCAGCCTAGAAGCTTGTTTGTCCCGCTTGAACTTGAATATGCCGCTAAGCTTCACCTGCTTACAGCTAGGCCCATTTGGTTTCTCAACCACATCTTGGTCAAATGAAACTGCTAAGCGATGGAAATTTCCCTTTTTCGACAACTGTCCTTGCTGGTTCAACTGAAGCAGGTAGATCTGATACCACTTCATCTTGCTTGATCTCAGAGCATTGAAGGTTTTCATTTTCATGGGAGTCGCCAGTGCAGTTTCTAGGAACGAGCGTAGAGGCTGACAGTTTTATTTTTTAAAATATCTGGTTGACTTTTAAAGAAATGAGTCCTGAGCAGCGTGACTAGTTCTGAACTGCTTTAGACTCGATCACGAAACGCTGTTTGGGAAAGGAGCCCTTTCTCGGAGAGGAACATGTTCAACGTCGAACCCTAGAGATTCGAGCCTAGAATAACTAATGCCCTGCTGTACGGGACCTTTAACAAACGTCTTGGCCAGGGGAGCGGGAAAAATAGCGGGGCTTTAACACCAGGCCAATGCTTAATTCCACGCTAAGTCCCGGGGGTCGAGAAGGGGGTGGGGGGGTTGAGTTTCGATAGCGTAGCACGCGAATGACGTCAGAGTGACTGATCTGCAATTTTTGTCTGAGTTTTGCCATTTTTCTCATTTTAACGACAAAAGTCAGAGAAAAGTGAGGAATTCGCTAAATATTAATTTTAGTTTGTTTGTCTGAGTTTCGGGTCTATAAATAGTAACTGCACGTAGTGCTATTGACTGATGCATAAGCGCTAGTGAGAACGTATGATCTGCTTCTATAATGTGTAATTGTGCCTATGATAGGCTAGACTGCTTGCATTACGCCTCTTCTCCTAAAATCCGTCCAGTCCTTATCCCATCTAGCGCGATTGCAAACCACGATGTTATTATTTAGGCATTGAGACGAGACAAACCGGGCTCGCCGCTCGCGTGTTTAGGTTTCTCGTGCAGTAACTTTGCAAGGAAAAAGAGGAGACTGCTCGCAGTCTAATGATAGGCAGTATAAAGACCTCTATAAACTGAGTGTGTTGCAAAGTAGCCTGTAGCATGTTAAGTTTATGGGACTATAGGAGTACAAGTTGTAAAAATTTATCTGTTTCAGTGTTTGTTTGCTGCACCGTATAATTTAAATTTTGTTGTTTAATATTATTTCATTTTTAAATGAGCTTTCGGCTGTGACGTTACTCAGTCAATTACCTTTCATAGAGAGGGAGATAGGGTTAACGAACCTGTCGATCCGAATCGATCCGTACGTGCTAATGATCATGAGTAGGTAAAAAAAGCATTAATAATTCCTCATGTTGTTTTATTTTCCTACACGTCTACTTTCTTTGGTAAGCATCAACTTAAGATACCTTTTAAAAAGTTCGCCAGATTATATCAGTTAAGACTCCAACGGAAGTACTGGCTCTGAATGTTTATTTTAACTTAAAGATTATAATCTGTAGTTCTTGAGCGAACTCTTGACTTGGTGATCAAAAACAAAACTTTCTCACGCAATTCATGAAACTAATCATACACGTCATACATCACTGACATCACGCCACCAATCAGTTGTGTATTAAACAAAATCTAAATCTTGAGTAATCTCGCTTAGCTATCAGATCAGTCTTTGTTGGGAAATTATCTGACGGAATCTGACTAAAGAAATTACTTGACGACATGTCACAGGACGCTAAAGATGTTGTACCAGGTGGACTGAGTCCGCTGAAACCGGCCGATGCAGAAGTGCAAAAGATTTGCGATCAGGTATCAGTTTATTAAAGCTAGCATATGAGGCAGCTCCCTCATGAAATCTTATTTCTTTCTCCGCTTAACTTTGAAATGCCGTGTTTGGCGATAGCGGACAACCCGAGTAACCCAAGCTGAAAAGCATGCGTAACTATTATCGTGACCTTCGAAAGTATAAGGACTGATTTTGCATGCGATAAGAAGATACAGTAAATTATTGAATCTAGAAATATCTGTTATATATGTTTCCGTGTTTCTTCATGTCGTCAGTTGGTTTGAGCGAAATGCGAGATCGCGGCCGAGAAAGGTGACACTCGGGGGTTAAGACAGAAACATTATATTTCCAGCTTGGGCTGACTGTACTGAGAACCTTTCCGAAGCTTTGGAAACAAACGATGAACAGTTAAATTATTGCCGGTATATTTGATGCGATGGAAGTAATTCAGTACATTTGCTTGTAACCATGATAACAACTATTGTTCCAAACCCTACTCGCATGACGTTTGTGATTTAAAATAGAGAAAACAAGGGGGATATTAGTGGAAGGCTTCTAGCCGGAATATTATTGTTCACTGTATTCTTGCATAGTAGAACTTCGATATAACGAAGAGCCAAAGGATAGGCAAAATATGTTCGCTTAGACGAGGTTTCGTTATATCGAAGTTCTCTTAATTCATATATTTTACTATTACTGGGGTAAGAACAACCGTCCGTTATACTGAGGACTTCGTTGCATCGAGGTTCGTTATATCGAGCCCGGGGGGTGGGGGACTCCGCATATGAAAGAGGTGGGGATGCTCGTCGGAAATTTTGAACTAAACCCCTGAAGGAGACCGATCTGGGCGTGGCCCAAGCTTTTTTTGACCCCTAAAAGAGACCATGTTAAAACGCAGACAATATATATTTTTTTATATTTTTTCACGTGCAACCCTAAACGAGACCTACACGGCTAAATATGATGGCTTTTTGCCCAGAACACCCTACGTGAGACCAAAATCCGAAATTTACACCCCTAAGCGAGACGACGAGCATCCCCACCCCTTTCAAATGCGAAGTCCCTTCCCCGGGATATCGAGGTACCACTTTAAATAGGTAGATGGCACCATCACAGCAGAGGTGGGAGAGGTATAGTCAGGGCGTCGTATAACTGGGGTTATACGGTATATATTTCACACCTCTTTGCTAACAAGGTGAAAAATAACCTCAACTTGTCACCCCAACAGGTGAAACCCCAAGCAGAGAAAATGGCAGGGCAAGAATTTCCTGAATTTAAAGCCATATCATATAAAACTCAAGTTGTAGCTGGAATAAATTACTTCATTAAGGTTAATCAAAAACGTTCCACACCTACCCCTCCCCTAAGCCAACATTAACACTTACTTCTCACTTAGAACAAAATGTTGGCTTAGGGAAGGGGTAGGTGGGCAGTTTCCCAGAAACGAATAATGATCCCAATGTACTCCGGATCTGCAGTCAGTCCCACATTGTATTTATAATGACATCCACGAAGGAGTGGGGTTTTGGGGTAGGGTAGGGGAAATGGAAAGCATTGTGTTTGCCAGTTATTATTCAATTACATAATGATTCCTGTTAGTATAGGTAATAACATGATTTGAAGTGTTTTTGGCATAAATACTACGGGTAATATTTCGAAATTGTTGTAGGTAATTTCACGAGCCGTTAGGCGAGTGAAAATTGAGACAATTTTGAAATATGAGCGGTATTTATACCAAATACACGTACAAATCAAGCTATTATTTGTTTACACTACTCAGACTCGCAAAAGGTTTGTAATTTGTGCATGTAGGTTTTTCAAATTATGCCGAAATACCACTGCTCTAAGCAATCAAAACCAGAAATTTCTCTTGTATTGGTATAATAAAGTTAAGTTAAAGTTAAAGTTTTATAACACAGCATTCCAGTCAAACAGTCTTCCCGGCCGATGCGGTATTACTTCCATAATTTTTGAATAAAGAATTAAGGATCAATATTTTAAAAATGAATTTTTGTTAAGACATTGTCACCCTAACTCAACAACAGCCCGACACTTTGCCTTCAACTCAACGCTTTCGGACGCGAATAATGGATGCGGGGTCACTGTGAAAGATTTCACCCGATGTAAGAGAATCCGGATTGCGGAATCCGAGAGATTTTTGCTCGTGGAATCCGGAATACAGCTCAAGCAATCCGGAATCCGACTAACCATTGGAATCCGGAATCCAATTTCCACTGGAAAAGTATGGAATTTAGTACCTGGAATCCGGAATCCACGGCGCGGAATCCAGAATCCAAGACTGTCTTGGATTCCCTTACATGGGGTGGAAGATTCTTCAGAGAAGGGTACAGCTTAGTTAAAGGGGCTCTGTCACTAAATTCAGCTAAAGATAAGGACCTCTCGCTAGTCTCGCACAGAAGGCCGCGCACAAGTGCTATTAAGCCACACTTACATTCAATTTCCGTTTTTTTTCTGGAATCGGTGTATTACCCATCATCCTCGTTTTCATGCTCTTTTATATAATTATCGATTACGATTGCGTGTGATCACAAGCTCCACTAAAGGTTTTGATATCTTAAACAGAAACTCAAGAGTGATATTGAATCAAAATTCCAAATTCAATGAAAAGAAATAACATTAATTTTACTAGATCTTTTATTAGTGTCCCTAGGTTTCGCTATCAAATTGATTTTTGAGTTATATCGACATTTCAACATTCTGAATGCTGAAAGTTCGTAATTGACTCACACATTACATATTGGATCTACAGTGCAACCTCGATTTCTCGAACTCTAGGTGTTTCGAAACCCCAGATAATTCGAAATAAACCTAAACTTTCTTTACGAGCTACACAGTGTAATTTTACCTCCGATTTTTCAAACCTCCCCATCATTCGAGCCAATTTGATTTCCAATTGTGGTCCGATAAATCGGGCTTCCACTGTATACCTTACTCGAGGATGGGTCCTTTAAACTGTTAAAATATTTTACCTACAGGTTCATGTTGGCGGTCCTTCCTACGTTCATTTGCGTGTTTTCCAGTCTCTGCCAGTTGCTGGATCAACTCTTACATTATCTGCTATCAAGACAGGAATGACCAAGGACGATCCCATTAACTATTTTGACTAGAGTCCACACAAGTTCTACATTAAGAGAAAATTCAACCTCGAACCTAGCTTTTTTGACTCGCTAACTACCTTATTATAGGAAATTAAAGCTCCATGAAATTAAGGTATTGGAAATTAACGCGACTTAAATTAACGCGAATTTAATAGAAAACGACTTTCGAATAAAGAAAATTAACGCGAAAGAGGAGTTAGAGTTTCATAATAAAGAAAATAAACGCGATTAAGACACAGTTGATGGTGACAACTGGAACAAATTTATTTCATCACTGGATGCAAAAAAATTCAAAACTGAACAAAACTGAGCTGGCATTACTTCTGACAGCGACAACGATGAAGATGAACTCGAAATATTGTAAACCTTCGCCTTAGCTTTTGTGAAAGATGAAAAATACAGGACAAATGGAAAGAAAGAAAGCTTGTAGTTAATTGTTTTTAGTTGTCAAGAATGTCTGGACAGGTTCCAAAATTTGGGTTAAAATACTGGAAATTAAGAGCGCGGAAATTAAAGCTGCAGTTAATTAACATCGCGGAAATTAACGCTCAACAAAATTAACGCGACTTAAATTAACGCGAATTTTAACGATTCGCGTTAATTTCCTATAATAAGGTACGTCTTTAATGATGCAGTTCATGAAAAACGTCGTTCCCGGGGTCCTTCTTTTTGTCTTCTGTGTACGACTCAAGCCTGACGTAAATGAAAAAGAGAGATCCTAGGAACAAGGCTAGCTCACGAAAACGAGGTTGGACAAAAAATAACAGTGACTAGTGATGTAAGAGTTTTCCAATAATGTCACGTTAAAGTAAAAAGTAAGAAACTATTTTTTGCTTTTGTTTGATCGTTTGCAAAGAATTCTTAGAACTTAATTAACTGACTGAAGGGATAGAACCACCTTGTGTCTAGTTCATGGTTGTAAGTAAAGCTTTGCATTGCCTGGAAAATGTATCATCTTCAAGCCACAGCAAAATGGTTTTTCAGTGTACATGCAGGATCGATCGCCACAAAAACAATTTCGAAGTTACATGCCACACATTTTGTCGAAATTACGGTGCACACGTGCTCGTTTACTCAAAATGTCCCCTGAATGGATTAAGTTTCAATTGATACACAACTGATCATATCTGTTCGGTAGCTGATAAGAAAAAGGGAAGTAGAAAAATTCTTTTTCGTTTTTAAGAAAAAAAATGAAACAATCAAACAAACGAGTCTGATAGGATATGAAACAATACTTTTCCAAGTTGATACTGTGACAAGACCATGGGCAAAGCTTTTTAACTATATCAACATAAAGGACTTTTCTTACCACAAAAAGGGGCAGCATTCACCAACACCGGCAGTATGACTATTCCTTCTTAGCTAACTCGATGAAAGAACCGGTGCCAGATAGCTTTTCGGCTTTAGAAATGAGCGTTTTGGGGACTGAACAAGAAGAATTTGCTATTATTCCTTTCTGTTACAGACCTTGTAACGTTCAGTCTTCGGTACAGGGGATGCAGAGCATGTTTATACATTTTGCGACTACACACCCACGGCATGTTTGCTGTTTCAGGAGGTACTAGGAAAAGGATTCACCCCTCCAAGACATGAGGTCGGTACTTTCAGGGCTTGAAATGAAAAGTCCTATCCGGTTGATCGGGATGAGTAGGCGTTTTTTCCTGGAAAAAATCTTTTTAAGCTTACTTGCCCAATAGGCAAGGGTCCAGACAGGTCATCTTGTAACTAAATTATTAACTAAGAAAAGGCCACCAATATCTCCGGGAAAACAAAATGTGAGAGCTGTTGTAAGGACAAGCTGTAATTCAAGTTTTTTTTAGCATTGTATTGTGGACCTTGGGTTAAGGTAATACGACCTATAATTTGTTTTCACATGACGTCACGGCGGCCATATTGAAGGAGTAGACACTAAAAATTATATTTGTAGGAAAATTAAACTTTTTTCCAAATTTTTTTACTCCTCCAACATGGCCGCCGGGCACATACTCTATATTTAACAGCTTTCATAGACTCTGTCAGTTTTCAATCCAACTGCGAAGCCGGCAGCATATTGAGATTGATTAGATCCCTCATGGTGGGTCTGCCGTGAGGACAGTTCCAGGGATGTTCAATCTCTCCCATGTGACAAACTACCTTCTTCATTTGAGCTTGGTTAAGTGCAGTTCCAACCATGATGGACATGCGACATGCACGACTCGCAAACATTTTCCTCACCCTAGAATATGGTCTACACATCAAGCCGGGAGAATCACTCAGCATCAAAATCAACTCTTCAATGTCCTCGACACCGAACGTCCAGTTCTTGCTCATGGGCAGTGAAACCAGTTTGACCTTTTTCACTGCCTCGACGTTGTGATCAATCTCAAAAATTAAATCCGTTTTTTCCAAATATTTCCACGTTGTCCACAAGGATAGCTTCATTGGCAGCGGTTAGTTCAAGCTTCTGGGGAACAATATAAGACGTTGAGACTTAATTGTCGTGTTCTTCTGTTGATACTCAAAGTTAAATTTCTCGATGATTTGAAGCATGCTGGTCGATTATGAACAAATCATTGCTCACTTTTGCTATGATAAAAACCAGATTAGATTGACCCAAAACTTCCATACGGTTGAACATATCTTTACTAATACTTTTCGTTAGTTCCTTCTCAGCACTGGAATTGCTCTCTGGTGCTATCTTTGCTCTAAACTAGCTTCTACTTCATCTGTTTTCTACCTCGTTGGTGCCCTAAGTTTTTTTTCATACTGAAACTCACTGTTGTTTCCTTTCTGTTTCTAACCATCTCTGATACCTGAGTTTGTTTTTCGGTGTTGCCAAGTTTAGGAAAAACCAGTATTATTTTGCAAGATGTGTTACTTGAATTATCTTTAGCCTGGCCTAGAAGTGTTTGATTAGTTTCATCAAAACGCTTCGAATTTTTTTCTTACTGGACGCCTATCTGAGAACCGAGTTTGTCGTCATCAGATTCACTTACAGCAATGAGATCATCCTTAACTTCAACAACTTCTATCACTGTCAGTTTTTTTTGCTAACCGTTCATTGCTATCACTAATATTTTCAGCTCTTTGATTCTTAGCAACAGCATAAACATGTCCACTATCTGTTTCCACAGACTCTTTGCTTTCCAGCCTAGTAAATATGCTGGTAAGCTTCACCTGCTTACAGCTAGGCTCATTTGGTTTCTCAGCCACATCTTCGTCAACTGATGAAAACTTCCTCTTGAAACGGCTTAGCAGTGTATTCTTTTTCTCGACATGCGTCCTTGTTACCATTGCCAGAAATTAGGGACAAGATGGCGATTGCGCGTGCGCACTAAGGCCATAATGGCTGCCAATTCGTACAAGAAAATGTATGGAGATAAGGAAACTTGTTCAAATATATCGATTATGAGCTTACGGGTCTTCGGTGCACGACTCGAAACATGTTGAGTGCTGTGTAACCTTCGCATCTGGGTTAAAAATGGCTAATTAGAAGCAGGTTTACTTACTTCCCGAAGTGGCCTCTTTTATCCCTCGTTGTACGCTCCATTTCTCCATACATTGTCTTAAAATCTTGCCGAAGTCATGCGAAATACTCGTCGATTAGAGGATAAACCCTTCAATGAAGTAAATTTGCACGACTCGATATCACTTCTGCGATGTAAGATGTTTCCTAAACAATCGTAAAAAGGACGATTTTGGCACTGCAAAATACTTCCAAAGGCGCATTATTTCCCTCAGTTTTCCATCTGTAGTCCAGTAATGGACGCCATAGTTGCGAATGACACATTTCGGTCGGACAAAGCTTCATAGCTCCAAACCTCACCGAATCGCCATTTTGTTTGTTGCTACAACTCAAGAGATGCTTCACGGGATATAAACTAGGTTCCAGGCATTCAAAAATCCTCGATTAGCCCACCAGGCTTGGTTTTAAAACCAAATTGTCACGAAAATGTCACGCAAGGTACATCCGCGTACTGTTTTGTTGCTATCAGCCGCTCGGCCGGGTATAAACCTAACATTTTCTTGCAAGGTGTTTTATTCCAGCTCTTTTCTTCGTAAAACATATCCACAGAGCTCAAATTATTTAAAAAATCGCAGGGATACGCTTTCCCTGACTACGACTGTTTTTGTCCGTCATTTTGAAAATGAGATTTCGCTGACAATTAATCACGGGCGCGAAATGTCCACGATTTCTGGCAATGTGTACAACTAAAGCAGGTAGACCTGATACCTTTTCATCTGGTTTTATCTCACAGCATCAAAAGTCTTCATTTCCATGAGAGTCACCATTGCCGTTTCTAGGAACGAATGTGGAGGCTGACAGTTTTATTTGCATCAGAGGTTTCTCATTGACATCAAATGATGCAGTTTCATCATCGAAAATCTTCCTCAGCGGCGATTTTATGGTGGCTAGCAGGACTCTCTCTTCCTGGAGAAACACCTGTCTCTTGTCTGGAGTCTCATTGGCATCTAGACATCATCTGATCATGGAAAATGAAAGTTTGAAAGATGATGAGTGGAACAACTAGACACTCATGTCTAACTCAATGTTACCAGAGTTTGTTGAAACAGGGCCCTCATTACTAAAAAATTGAAGAACAGCTCCTCCAAAAAATCTGTTGGCCGTCTGTCAGTAGACTTTTGACCAACAGCAGGCCGACGGAGGATAGATAGTCGGCCAACAGATGACAAATAGCCATCAATCCGCTGACAAGCTGCTAACAGTCGGCCAACAAACGAGTAACTGTCAGCTGACAAATTGCTGGTCGTCTGTGAGTCGACAGTCTACCGACAAATGGCCAACATATGTTTGGGGGAGCTGTTCTTCCTTTTACCCATTATTGATGCTGACTCCTTGAGAAAACTGTCATAAGCGACTGGCTTTAGTTGTGAACCTTTTGCATGGATTCCTGAGGTAGTTGCTTACAAGGGTTGGATGAACCAGATTCTGAACTGAAGCATTGAATACACATGGCGTTTCTGTTAGTAGGCTCAGTACAGCCGTAAAATAAGGCTGAGTTGTCCAC